GAATAAATGTCATCACGAAATATATTTTAAATGAATTCAAGTATGCATGGAAGAAGCGAGCAGGCTACAGTAACTGTTCTTTTATAAGAGTATTGGAGACGACCATTTTAAAATAATATTTTTTCTCAAAGAGAACTGAACAAAGAAGTATAATGACTAGTCTTTTTAGCTCTGGGATGGATAGTTCTTGATATTGTACATTGTATCGGTATATGATCATTTTAAAGCCGATATATTTCCAAGTTGTGGTCAGCTGGGCAGCTCACTCCCCCGGCTTTATCGCCGTAAGTGTGGTGACCATTTCATTGTTTGGTTCTATCAGTGACCGTCTTATTTAAATGTCTGGCCACATTGTGCTGTCTAGACTCGCGAACGTTTTTACTGGACAAAATCATCTTAACCCATTACATCAGCGAGGTCCAATGTAGGGAAATCTGTCCTGTCCATCTATTGCGTGAGAGAATATTTCCCCTTTCTTTTTTCAACACAATACTTCCTTTTTCTCTAAACAAGCAGCTTACGATATTGATAATTTCCTATCCTGTAAAAGGAAATCAGTAGAGATTTCTCAACACTTTAACTGAATAATGACCCTCCCGGAGCCTCGGTCACTTTGTCAGACTGACCTAAATAAGATATTACTTCACTAACACTAGACCTGTGTAGAACAATAGGTTGAACTGTAAAGGATTGAAAGGGCAAAATAACATTAAAAAAATGACGTGTTGTTTTGAACAAAGTTGCGTAATATTTGGCCTGGCGTTGAGAAGCAGAAAGGTCACATTAACCAGACCTCGAGGAGTTGTTATTGAGGGGTGTTCAGGTAACCACGATTGTGTGAGAGAGGGTGGTCAAGTAACGAGGTGGGTGTGAGAGGGGTTTTACCAGACATCAAAAAAATTTAAATCCGTATTTCACGCTCACTTTAAAGGGAATCTTGCAATCGAAAAAGTATCCAGGAATGAAAACCATCAAGTCATAAAGAAATATTCGGTTAAGGGGACTCTATACAATATAGATTTTTTTTTTTACTTTAGAAAATTGTATCATATAGAGTTGATACAGATATATAGAGAGTTGCTTTTAGCTTAATATAATATTCAATATATTTTTAAAATTTCAGATAGTCATTCTCTGATTGTCATTCCCGTTTATTCTATATCTTGAATCAAAGGGCAAATCACTCTAACTGCAATAAACTACTTCTTATGTGAGAAGTTAAAAAAAAAAGGCGAACAAGGCGTGCGAAATGCCTATGGTACAACAAATCAATTCTCAATTATATCATTTTTTTTTTTTTTTTTTTTTTTTTTTGGATATTTCAATTAATTTAACATTTTGTTTGAAAAATCGCCACAACAATCTCCCATGTATAAAACTTATGGGAGGAGGGCATATATGATGATTTTTTCGTTACAAAGCATAATTTTACCGTCCTTCCTTCATTTTTTAAAGTATGCATAAAAATGTACAATCATTTTATATTAAAAAACCATGAAGCAAGAACTCACTAGCTCTGCCTTAAGAATACCCTTTACGACACAACATTCGTATTTTTCCGTGAAATATTTGAAGTCCTGTTATTCAAAGGTCATATCACTAACAATTTAACAACGTATTATGCGTTGCTGTGATGTTGTGATTAGCATGTCAGTATCTAAAAGAAAACTGATACTCAGGATTTTTATGGTTTGGGTTCAATTCTGAAAAAGAACCCTCTCTTTTTTTTTTTTTTACTATATAATAATTTTGGCAGAATTTTCCACAGAAAATAAAGTTTTGTTTGTCATAATTTCATACCTTTCAATAATAAGAACTTTTGTTCTAAATACTTTGTTCACAAATTGAATTTTATTTTTGTACATTTGAAGTTGTAACCACTTCGAACCCTTGATCGCCCATCTTCTTCATAAAAAAATATTGTTCTTTCTTGATATGACAGTGCACAAGTGGTTTTCGTCCTACACTAAATATTTAAAATGGTAAGCGACATAATTAGCCTGATATTTAGAAAAAAGGATGACAAATAATTTTTGACTGTCTCTGTTCTGTAACGTGTCGGACCTAAGCGGTCAGTAGGTCCGTGCTCGGATTACCGTGTGTTACTGGAGATATGATTAAGCAAAATATACAGTGTCCTTGAATCAAGTGACCTACCTCCTTAATATTATATCTACAGGTTATACTGGCACCTGCCTGGTATGACAATTGCCTGGCCCCCTGTGACAACTGTCTATATGAAGTCAATCGACACCAGACTGGTGTCTTTTGACAGTAAGCCTTCGATTATAAGTTGACACCTTCCTGTGTCTTACTACTAACCAGGTGCCTTTTAACCATGCAGTTGTCTACCTCTACAACTGTACCCTAGCTAAGCAGCTCTATTATACTTGCCCAGTCTAATCTGTCAGTGATAACTTCATTATTCTAGTAACAGGGTACATTGTCTCATCACTAATGACACACAACTTGGAAGTCATAGACTACAGACACAGGCAATTTTACTGTACTGCCCCATATACTTTAACTTAACTAATATTATTAAATTTCAACTATTGCATTATCAAAACATAGCAAAGTGGTTCTTTTTCGACAAGATAATCCTTATTGTCTAACTACAATACTATTTATTAATTATACTCGTGTCATTCTTTTATCAATAGACCAATTAATTACAATATTTACACTGGTTAACTATTTTTATACAAACAAATAACGGGAAGTAACTTCTCTATCCATTTCACTTCCTTCCCCTAGAGAACTGCGTCCTGCATGATTTTTAACAAGACAAAATTAGTTAAAAAAAAAATAGCAAAATATTTACAATAATATTGTTCACCAGTATTTCACTACACCTTCTTTTACAATCACAGTGCCATTTTATGTTTCATGACATCTTCTCTCTTTTGACTATGATTACTTTTCGACCATGTTCTCTTATAATCGCTGTGGACTTAATGGATTTTGTATAAAGTACTGGTTTAGTCTGAATGGCGGTGTCCATCATTTTCCGCTGCACGTTGTTGCAAACTTTGTCAAGCCATGGTGCCTTACTCCTGCTAAGGGTGTAGACTGGACATGGCTGAGTTCGCTCTCTGACAGTAGGATCTGCTGCAGTTGAAACCTCTGGTAGATCACTCCTAAATTTGACACTGGTAGACGGACCTTATCATCCTGTATCTTTTCTCCCATAGATATGTCCGGATCCTGTCTTAGCCAATCTTCGTCACCCGAAGAACTTGTTCAGGCAGTTCTTTAGATAAAAACTCCTCAGAGTCATCCTTACGTCCAGACTCGTCCCTACTTTGGGTTTCCTCAGCTTGTTAGTCCCCTACCGGTGAAACCGGAGGGGACTATAGGTTTCCTCTGAGTCTGTCTGTCTGTCCGTCTGTCTGTCCCTCTGTCTGTCTGTCAGTCTGTCCCACTTGGTTTTCCGCACTTTTTTCTTAAACGCTTGCAGATATTTAGCTGATTTTTGGTATGTGAGTGTATCTTGATGAGTTACAGATCAAGTTTGCATTTCGTTCCGCTTCATTGATTTTTGACGGAATTACGGCCTTTTCAATTTTTCAGGGTTTTCCGCAATTTTCTTCTAAACGCTTTCAGATATTGAGCTGATTTTTGGTATGTGGCTTTACCTTGATTAGTTATAGATCAAGTTTGCATTTCGTCCCGCTTCATTGATTTTTGACGGAATTATGGCATTTTCAATTCTTAACGGGAACCAGATTACACTTGCCGGTAGGGGACTAGTATTGCTAATGCAATACTCTCAGAATGCTTGTTCACGATGGTTTCTCTTAAGGTGTCTCAGGTACTTAACTTTTCCGAGAGTAGAATAGTCGCATTTCTTGCAAAAGTATCTTGTTTCATAGCACGCTGCAATATGGTCTTTCAAAACAGTCTGGGGTGTTGTCTTGAAAGAGCAAAATGGACAATTTTTGGTTTCTTCACCACTAGTTATCTTTGCCATTTGCCTACAACGACCCAAAAAATTAATAAATATATTTAGATGGACAGCAAAATTAATTTAACACATAGTCTTGCAACCAGGTAGGTGGTCTCCTGATTCTAGCCCCACCCCATTAACATCAAAGTTGTCCTCTCTTGTATAACAGCAAAAGTGCTTTCACTGTCCATGACACTTTTGTCTTGACTAGTGCGTTCCTGAGAGCTATTGTCCTCTAGAACCTCATTTCTTAACGTCTGGAGGCCCTTCGAATGAGACTGTATAAACCAAGGTCCCGGTTCGCAGTAGGTGTTGACACGAAAAAGATCCCTCACTGCTTAAAGACCCTGACTTCCGAGTATAGGTATCAATTTGCAGCCCTCCACCGGCAAGTGGTGGCGTCTCCATATGAGTGAAAAATTCTCGAGAGGGACGTTAAACAACAAACAAACAAACAAACTTAACGTCTGGCTACCTTTCAGACGCAATCTGTCCACATGCACAATTGTGGCTTGCCCCGTGGTCCACAGTTCACGTTGTAGGTAATGTCTGTCATTGTCTCCTTTACCTCATATGAAACACGCCTGTAACTTGTAAACCTCGGATATTTCCGCACAGGGAAAAACGACATACACTTGGTCCCCCTTTTTAAACCGTTGTCATGATAACTTCTGGTCATGATATCTTTTTTTTCTCATCATGGCCGCTTTGATGTTTTTCCTAACATATCTATGAGCATCATTTGGCAAGTTCTATGGTCGATACAATGACCTTGTCAGCAAATACAACCTATCATTAAGTCAAATGCTGACTGACATTTTTCATATGTGTAAGGTCATTGTTTAAACAATGAATTGTCTACGGATTTTCCCGTTTTTTCCGATCATGACAAGGAGCACACGGCGGGAGTGACCGGTCGGCAGGGGATGCTCACTCCCCCATGGCACCTGATCCCATCTCTCATGTTTTTTTAGGTCGGTGTTTGTTCTGCTCCCGATTTGTATTGCTTAAATGGATTTTGAGCTTGAATACCGTTCGTTATCTACATATTTCATTCCATAGTCTTTTTGAGATTCCAAGCCCACTGATTACTAGGGATGCATTTGACTGCATTGGGCATATCGTACATGATGTCAAGTGGTGCTGATACTTCCCGACCAAGCATCAAGTAGTTTGGAGTGAATCCAGTCGTCTCATGTACAGATGCTCGGTACGCCATCATGACGTAAGGCAAATATATATCCCAGTCTGAGTGGTGTTCATTGGCAAAAGCGCTTAGCATCGTGACAAGAGTCTTATTGAAACGCTCGATCATGCCATCACTCTGGAATGATAGGGCGTGGTGCGAGTCTTCTGTATGTACAGGACGTTGCATACTTCTGAAAAGTTTGCTCTCGTACTGGCGTCCCTGGTCTGAATGTATACTGGAGGGAACACCAAATCGTGAAACTACCTCCTGGACTAAATATAAGATTTTGGAAAATGTTGCAGCTTCCATGTTTGTCATGGGGAAGCTTTTCGTCAATTTGGTGAAATAGTCGGATATAACAAGAATGTACTTGTTGCCATTGTCAGTCATGGGCATTTCACCAAGTATATCGGTTGCTATTCTATTCAATGGCATTTCATTCTCATCAATTGTGTGCTCTCTTTTTCTTCTGAGGACTCTTTTTGAGCATTCTCAACTTGCAATGTAGGTTCTTGTGTCTGCCTGAAGACCTGGCCTAGAGTAATTTTGTTAGTGTCTTAGTCACATCTAAGTGTGCAGCCGTTTCAGTATCATTATTGTAATACTGTCCTGCGCTCACTGCTGGGTACTATTGCCTGTAGACAAAATGACTTGCCACTGTCTTCTTGGTTTTCCTGTACAAAATGTCATCCTTAATAAGAAGGCTTTCCCACTGAGACCATAGGGATCTAATGACATACCCAAGTCCACTTTTTTGTATGCAGCCATCCTTTCACTAGTTTCAGGTCGCTGCCTTTGTCTTGCAGTTCTCTCATCTTGTGACAAGGCTCTCGCCTGTGTTGACTGGACGAGCTGCACTGACACGTGTCACTGTATTTGCATCTTGGACGCTCATTTCATCTGATACTGATGTCTCCCACTCGGGGTCAAAATCAAATTGTCTACAACCGCCAGAAGTTCCTTTCTCGTAACACAATACATACGTTTTACTGGCATATGCTCTTTGCCATCTACATTCTGTGATAATACTGCCCCAATTGCTTTGTCACTTGCAGCTGTGTCTAATATGAATGGAAGCGTAAAATCTTGATGGGCTAGCACTGGGGATTTAACCAAGTGGTTTTTAAATGCTTCTTGGCAATCAGTTGTCCATACAAATGATATCCCATTTTCTGTTAGTGTATGCATACACTTAATAGCAAGTTTGAATGAATCTTCGATATATTATCCACACAAACCTAGAAATGGCCTTAGCTCGGTGACAAAAGCGGTACTATTCATTCTTTAACTACCTATCTTGTTCGGATCTGTGGCCAAACCGTGTTCAGAAACAACATGTCCGAGATATGTTACTTTTCTTGCCAAGAGACAGGATTTCTTGGCCTTAAGCTTGAAATTGTCTGTTCTCAGTCTTTCAAAGGCTTTCTCTAAATTGTCAAGCATTTGTTCGAATGTTTTGCCGATGACAATTATGTAATCTAGGTAGATCATACAAATGTCCCATTGCAATCCTGCCAGCACAATTTCCATGAGGTGTTCGAATATTGCCCAGGGCACAACTCAAGCCAAACGCATTACATTGAATTCAAACAGTCCTCTTCTTGAGGTAAAGACTGTTTGGCTTGTCTGCAGGTGCCATCCATTTCAACTTGCTAGTAGACTAAGCAAAGATCGAGTCCCGAAAACCAAGTGGACCCAGTTAACTGGTCAAGTTACTCGTCAATCCTCGGGAGAGGGCATGCATCCTGTATAGTGCAACTGTGAAGTCGACGATAGTCAATACAGAATCGAACCTATAAGTTGAATGTTCCATTTTTCTTCCTGACCAATACTACTGGCGAGGACAATGGACAGTTGGAGGGCTGTATGACACCTCTTGCAAGCATGTCATCTATATTCCTGTCTACCTTATTCGTCAGGTGAGCTGGTACTCTTCGTGCTCTTTGTTTATTTGATTTTACTGTTACCTGTATCGATATGATGCTTTACTATTCCAGTTCCGCCAAAGTTCAAACTATGTTTGTAAGCATGTATATTTTAACAGAAAGTATTCCGCCCGGTTTAACTGTGTAGGAGTCATGTTGTCCTTACTCTTATTAAGTAGATAAGCTAAATCATTGCGTAACACTCTGGTTGACGATGATTTATCATTTACGAGTGAGTTTTTCATTGAGTCTATCTCGGAAAGTTGTCCAATTATTGTCCCAGAGTGTACCACCTCTAACTCTTGTTCAACATTCATTAGTCTAACTGGCAAAGTTCTTGGAGATTTACCACTATGTTGCAGTTAGTGTGCTCTGCTGTTTGATGTAGTTGTCAACTGGTTCAATAATACTCTCGCAGTATGGCAGACTTGAACCCTCTGGAACACACACTTTACCAGGTACAATTATCTCACTCCTTGGCGGAATGCTCACTGTCTTAGCTGCTGTAATTCTATAGCATCCAAGGGAACCTTCAATTGTCATTCTCTTATCATGACCATTGACATCAAGAACTTCATTACAAACATCGACTTTGCAATGATTTCTTAATTTCATAAAGTCAAGGCCCAATATATCATCTGCCTTTAAGGCAACCACTACCTCATTGTGGTATGTCAACTGGTCAATGCCAACATTGAATTCTGCCTTCCCATGAACAGACAAAGCAATTCCATTGGCCGACATGATGGTCTGATTTACCTCATGTAGCTTTGGCCTCACAAATGCAGGCAACTTCTTTTACAATGTCTCTGAAACAAGGGTAACAGTAGCCCCAGTGTCCACTAGAAGTTTAACTTCTCCCCTTGAACATTTACATCTAAGTACAACCCACAGTCATCTATAGATGAACTGATCCTATTGATACTTGTGACCCTGATGTTCTTTTTCAATCTTTTTCGGCCTATTTTAGTTACTTTAACAGGTCTTTCATTTGCCTGCTTGTACAACTAAGGGCAATTTCGCCTGATGTGTCCTGGAGTTTTGCATTCATAACATCTTATATCCTGCTTTGTGCCACTTGCCCTTGTATCTCTGCCTCTATACCGTTTAAGTAAGGCCTACTTTGCTTAGAGACCTTAAGCTCCCTGAGTTCTTCAGTTATCTTTTTCATGTTCTCTTCAACAGCTTTCATCCAGTTCGCAAATTGACTATTATTACATTTGTCGGGGACGTCAGATTGTTGACTATTATTACATTTGTCGGGGATGTCAGATTGTTGACTATTATTACATTTGTCGGGGATGTCAGATTGTTGACTATTATTACATTTGTCGGGGATGTCAGATTGTTGACTATTATTACATTTGTCGGGGACGTCAGATTGTTGACTATTATTACATTTGTCGGGGATGTCAGATTGTTCTACATCAAATATCAAAAACTGCTCTCAAAAAGCCTTTGAGTTCTCTGTCCCTCATCTCTTACTCTATTGTATGCCTCCACTTCTATAGCAAGGCTGATGGCCTCAGTCAAATTGGCAGGTCGCCACTAGTTGATTCTTATTCGGATATCAGAATCAATCGATACATCAATGAATCGATTCTTTTCCAGTATCTCACGAACTTCACCTGGTGCAGTTGGAGAAGCCAAATTGGTCAATCGTCTGATGGTTTGGCCTAATTCAGACAGTGTTTCTGTCGGTTTTTGTCTTCTCTCTTTAAGTTGTACCCGGTGCAGGTCAGCCTGGTTAGGAGGAGAAAACATTTCTCGCAGAGACCTTACAAGTATCTCACAATGTTGTCCTCTGTCAGGTGGTAGATCGTCTAGAACAGCCTGAGCTTGACCACGTAGTGATAGGGCTAGAAACAATCCTTTCTTCTCTTCAGTTCAACCATTCACATTTGCACAACCCTCAAAGGGACACTTATAGTCCAGTTAGGAGTGTAGCTCTGTCTCTATACCAATATACGTAGAAAAGCATGACTAAATAAACATGTCTTGTTGAATTGTCTCCGTACGGTACGGTACTGGTTAAAAGACCTTATTAAGCAACCAAGTTCTATCAGAGTAATTAATTGTGCAGAATCTTACAATCAAATTTCTACTTAGATTCTTGTCCAAGTAACTGTATCGAATCCCTTCCAGACTAAAGATTTGGATGTCATTGTCAGTGAGAGTTTGCCCTGATCTTGACCTGAGGACACATTGCCAATTTAAAGGTCACTCGGCAATGGTTTCTTGAAACCTGTCCCAAGTGTAACTTTAAAGCTCAAATAAAATGATCAAAGCTTAAGTACGTTCTTTCTATCGACCCGAAGGGGATCTTTATTCTCAAGGTCGAATCTTGAAGGTTATTGTCCCTGGACTTTATCTATGATTTGGTAACGCCATATAACACAGCTTGTCCAAGTTCAGTGTTTAATTGATTGGAATAATTATGTTAGGGCCCAGTGATGATTGAGATGAATATTTTAAGACTTATTAATAATTGAGATGACTCAGTTATGATTCAGTTAAAATTGAGATGATCATGATTCAATGATTATTTAGATGATTTTGTTGAAGATTCATTGAGGATTGAGAAGCACATATTGAAGACCCAGCTATGGTTGAGATGTTTATTTGACTCAGTGATGATCGGAGTGAATTAGTTCACCATTCCTCTGTTTACTCATTGCTTGTGATTTCCGTAAAAAATCAAAAAATTATAATGAAAATGTAAGGAATTTTAACCTTCCTGGTCAAATTTTAACAAAAATTGCAGTTTTATTCGACAGTTTGATAAAAGAACAATAAACATTTATCCCAAGAGAGTTATTTCTCTTATCAGAAGATCGATGAACCCTAAGACTCAATGATGATGTGTAATATGTGTTACTGTAAAAGCAGAAATATTCGTTGGGGATTAAATTTCGTTTATTTCGTTGTTAACAATTAGCAACGAAATTAAACCCCACACGAATTTTTTATATGACTATATCTTGAATAGGTTTACTTTCGAAACAACAAAATTAAATGCCCACGAACCCTTATTAGAGGACAAATCAACGAAATTTTATCCCCACGAAAATTTGTGCTTCTACAGTATATTAAGTGATGATTGTTTGACTATGTGTTATATTAAGTGAGATAGTTTCATTATGTGAAATATTCAGTGATGATTGAGTGATTATGTGAAATATTCAGTGATGATTGAGTGATTATATGAAATATTCAGTGATGATTGAGTGATTATGTGAAATATTCAGTGATGATTGAGTGATTATGTGTAATATTCAGTGATGATTGTTTGATTATGTGTAATATTATGTGATGATGGTTTGATTATGTTTAAATTTCAGTAATGATTGTTTTATTCCTGACTTGGTATTTGATGTCAATGAACAGTATGACTTATCTTTTATCGTTTTAAAGCAAAATTCGCACGTTTTAAGGGGCGTCATCAAATTTCATAAGTAGCAAACTAAGAAA